TTGTAAATAGATTTTTAACTAAATCTTAGATTCACTAGGAAATGATGAAATTTACATAGCAACATCTTGATCAGGAGCTGGTCTGTGCAGTCAGATAGAGCTGGTTGTGATGGCCACTATATGTTACTTATAAGATGGGAAGTTACCCAGTCTTACTGAGTCTCTGTTTCCTGAGCTGTAAAACGGATAAAAATTGCATAATAGTGGATATAGGCATTTAACAGGAGACTAGACATACCTAGAGGGAGAAGTGCTGAAATGAATGAAAGAATGAAGAAATTATCCAGAATGCATCACTGAAAGACAAAAATATGGAAGCTAGAAATTAAGAGACAGAGGATAGAAAAGATCTAAAATATGTTTAATTAGAGATTCAAAAGCAGAGTTGAACAGACAAAAAATCTTGAGGAAAAAAACCCCACAGAATGGAAGGAATCATGCTCCCCGACTTCAAACTATACTACAAAGCCATAGTAATCAAAACAATGTGGTCACTGGCACAAAAACAGATACATAGATCAATGGAACAGAATGGAAAGCCAAGAAATAAACCCACACACTTATAATCAATTAATCTACAACAAAGGAGACAAGAATATACAATGAAGAAAAGACAGTCTCTTCAATAAGTGGTGCTGGGAAAACTGGACAGCTACATGTAAAAGACTGAAATTGGAACATTGTCTAATACCATAGATAAAAATAAACTCAAAATGAATTAAAGATCTAAATGTAAGACACAAGCCTATAAAACCCCAAGAAGAAAACATAGACAGGACACTCTTTGACATAAATCACAGCAATATTTTTTTGGACTTGTCTCCTAAAGCAAAGGAAATAAAAGCAAAAATAAACAAATGGGACCTAATTAAACTTAAAAGCTTTTGCACAGCAAAAGAAACCATTGGCAAAAGGGAAAAAACTGCTGAATGGGAGAAAATATTTGCAAATGATATGACCGATAAGGGATTAATATCCAACATATATAAACAGCTCATACAACTCAACATCAAAAAAACAAACAATCCAATTTAAAACTGACTAGAGAAATGAATACACATTTTTCCAAAGAGGAAATGTAGATGTCCAATCGTCACCTGAAAAGAAGCTCAACATTACTAATCACCAGGGAAATGCAAATCAAAACTCCAATGAGATATCACATCACACCCATCAGAATGGCTATCATCAAAAAGAACACAAATAACAAACGTCAGTCAGAATGTGGAGAAGAGGGAATCCTAGTACACCATTGGTGGGAATGTAAATTGGTGCAGCCACTGTGGAAAACATTATGGAGGTTTCTCAAAAAACTAAAAATAGAACTACCATATGATCCAGCAACTCCACTCCTGAGTATGTGTCCAAAAAAATAATAATAAGAGTGCTAATTCAAAAAGATACATGCACCTCAATGTTCACAACCACATTGTTTATAATTGCCAAGGTACAGAAGCAACCTAGTGTTCATCAACAGATGAATGGATAAAGAAGATGTGGTACGTATATCATAAAATACTACTCAGCCACAAAAAAAGAATGAAATTTTGCCATTTGCAGCAATATGGGTGGAGTTGGAAGGCATGATGCTAAGCAAAGTAAGTCAAACAGAGAATGACAAATACTGTATATCACTTATGTATAGAATCTAAAAAATACAACAAACTAGTGAATATAACAAAAAAGCAGACTCACAGATACAGAGAACAAAGTAATGGTTACCAAATAGGAGAGGGAAGGGAGGAGGGGCAATATAGGGGGAGGGGGAGAAGAGGGTTATGGGATTATATGAAATCATGTCTGTGAAACTTTTTGAAAACTGTAAAGCACTATAGAATCTAAAGATCTTTCATTCAATAAAAATAAAAAATTAAATAAAAGTTAAAGCCAAAAGTTTTTAAAATAAAAAGTAAAAAGTAAAATAAAGGATCTCTTGGTACAGATAAAGGAAGCATTAGGAAATGTCTAGAGTGGTAGTCCCCAAAATGGATGCATTCCCCCAGGAGGTGATGCGTGAGAAAACCTGAGAATGTGTATGTTTACACTTAATTTTGTTTCTGTAAAATGAGATTTGTGATGCCGACATCATAAGGGTTATCATAAAGACTAAATGAGATCACATGTATAAAATGCTCAACATATTGCCTAATACGTAATGAGCTCTCAATGAGCAGAACTGCGTTTTTTTAAAAAAATTCAAAATAAATAAATAATCCAACTATATGTTGTTTATAACAAACAAAACTAAAATATAAGAACACAGAAAGATTGGAAGCAAATGCATCAGTAGAGATAAAGAGTGACATTTCACAATGGTTAAAAAAAAAGGGGGGGGAGGTGGGGAGGGAGGCAGGGAGGGAGAGAGGAAATGGGAAGAACAAAGTGTATTGAATCTATTGCTTTATAAAAAATTACCCCAGAATTAAATGGCTTAAAACAACAAATATGATTACCTCATACTTTCCATGAGACCAGAATCCAGGCACAGCTTTAATGAGGTCTGGCAGGCTGCAGTCAAGGTGTCAGCTGAGGCTGCCTCCATCTCCAGGGTAGACTAAGGGAGAATCCGCTTGGAACATCCCTCACGTGGCTGTTGGCTTCAGAAGCTCCACTCCCGAGATCCCTCATGCAGCTGTTGGCAGACCTCACGGCCTCGCTGGCTATTCGGCAGAGGTGTCAGTTCCTTGTCTGATGGGCCTCTCCATGGAGCAGTTCACAAGAGGGCAGCTGGCCTCCTTTAGAGCAAGCCAAGGAGAGAGGGAGAGAGATAGGGCAAGCAAGATGGAAGCCAGAGTCTTTGGAATCTAACCTCAAAGGCGGTAGCCCCTCCCATCCCTTTTGCCATATTCTTTTTGTTAGAAGTGTGTCACGAGATCCAAGCCACACTCAAGGAGAGGAGATTACACAAGGCATAAATACCAAGAGGCAGGGATCACTGGGGACATTATTGATGCTGTCAACCCTAGAAATGAAAAACAAAAAGTGTCATCATTTGCTTATTACGTGGTGAATGGAGAAAACCCAGAAGAATAAAACAAGATTTTTAGAATGAATGGGAAAGTCTAGCAAGGTTGTATAAAAATCAGCGCACAAAAAAACCAGCTTATACTATGGATAAGCAACAAACAGAAAATGGAAATTTAAAAATAACCCCATTTACAATAGGATCAAACATCAAGGTATTTATCAGTTGAATAACTAGTGAAGCCAGCAGTGGGCACTATTATCTTTACTTTCTCATGTATTTGAAATTTTTGATAGTGACATTTTTTTTAAGTATCAAATACCTGGAAACAAATTTAAGATTTAATAAAAGATTTACAAAACTTTACAGAGAAATTTACATTTTTTCTCATTTCTTCTAAATAAATGGAAGGATAAACCATCTTCAAGGACTAGAAGACTTAATATTGTAAAAACAGCAATTCTCTCCAAATAGATTTATAGGTTCAACACAAGCAAAATAAAAATCTGAACTCTGTGTGTGTCTTGACAAGTGGGTATTAAGATTTGAACAAAAGTTAAAAAAAAAAGTGGGAAAAGTCTTCAGCCATATTAATAATGCAAAGTAAAACCATAATGAGATACACGCACCACACTGAGAATTCAAACTCTGACAATAACAAGTTTCGGTGAGGGGCTAAGCAAAAGGAACTCTTCACACTGCTGGTGGGCTGTTAACTGGCACAGCCACTTTGAAAAATTGGTATGAACCACTCCTCAACTTCACATGTAGTTGGTTATGTTTTATATCTCCATAAATATGCTATGCTTAAAAAAGGAAACTTAGAGAGAAAAAAATAAAGAAAAAAATTAACATCTATGTCCAAAAATAAGCAATAGAAAATGAGACTCTGGGAAGTAAATTCTACCTTGGGCAACAAACAGAGCAGAAAGCAGACTGATTCCTTGCTCTAAATACAATTCCAAGGCTGAGAATGAGTCCTGAAATAAAAATCTCCGATTACTTTCTATATTTGCAAGATAAGGTGGTACCCAAACCAATAGGAATACTTCATTTCATCTTTGAGGAAGCAAAAATCAGACTCAATTGCAGGAGGCATTCTGCTACAAAAGAGCAGGGGCAGATCTCAAGTGCAAGGAAAAATCAGTCCCAAGGGCAGAGCAAGCCAATGAGTGAGTGTTGCTCTTAGCTTTTTGGGTAATCACTCTCAGAAGCCTTCCAGCTGCTCCATAATTTAAGTGGACCATTATTTGCAAGAGGGCAAAGCAAAGCAAAAGACATGGGCAAAGTACCTCCTAAAGTCCAGTACAAAAACCCAAATCTCACTTCTTATTTTATCATAAAAATAAATGATTGATATGAGAACACTGAGAACACAGGCCAAGGCAATGACGTTTAGCACTTGAGGATGCTCTCTAAGTGACCTAAATAAATGTCAAAAAAGAAACACCATGTACAGTCTTAAAAAATGGTATTTATTTACATTCCATTTACTTTCAAAAGAGTGAGGAAGCTGGGGAAAATATATTTATAAAGGAAGCACTCTCCCTTAACCCATTTGTGTTTTTCATGAAACAACAAAAGATTTGACTTAGAATCACAGGGCTAAAGGTACCAAAAGAATTTATCTAGTTCAATTTTCCATCTTTAGCCAAGACTGAAATTATACCACAGGCAGGTGAAAATCAAGTTCACTTATAAGTAAGCACCAACTAACAACATATATGTCATAAAAGAACCAGCTTTAGTAAAATCGGTCACAGCATCCAACAAATCCACAATAAAAGAAATAGCCATGGTAATATATAACATTAAGAATCTTTGTGCAGTGATGAAAAACGATTTACACAGGAGAAAATCACAATGGGCTATTAAGCCAATAGCATCACAGTAACAGCACCCAGTGTCTTTCTTATTCAAGTATATACACTATTTTTAAGTCTTGGTAATTGCAAAGACATCAGTAACTAGAATGCACACACACAAATATTTTATAAACAGCATGAG